AAGTGAGGTTGGAGACACAGAGAAGTTTTGAAGAAGAGAAGGAGAAGGAGTTGTAACAGGAAGGCATCAACAGGAAATGTGGTGGGTGAGTACTGTCCCTCTCTCCCTTTTTATTATTTTTATTATCCCTTCGTTTCAGTCCTCTTTTCTTTTCTTTTTTTTTTTTTTTTTTTCCGCTTCTTCCTTCACGCTCTCAGGAGTCGCTGTAGTACCGCCTAAACGCCGAGACGTTGAATGTGTCTTTCTTCTGCCTCCGGCGAGTGTGCCAACTAGCGTCGGGGTCACCCAGCCTGCCCACACGCCCAGGACGCGAGTACAACCCGACATGTGCGGAAGAGTCAAAGTGACGGCCCTGGCGATGCTCTGCGACGCTTCCGGGATGTTGTGCGAGCCGCAGTACGCCCTGCAGACGATTCAACGTGGGCGGCCGCTGACGGATGTCCATGAGATTCCACCTACGGCGACCGCGGATAAGGCACTGCATGGACCCTAGAAGGAAACACACAGACACACTTCGTTATCTTATAACTTTTCCCCCGCGCTTTCTTCTCAGTCACTAGTCTGCTCGTCCAGCCGCTGGACCTGCATAAAGGGAGGGAGTGGTTATGGAGAGCTGCAGAAGAGTTCTTCGGATAAAGGTTGTGGAAAACACAAGCAACAATAATAATTTAAAAAATCTTGAAATATATATATATATATATATGTATGTATGTATGGGTGGGTCAACTAAAACCGGAGAACCAAAACTTTGTGGTAAACAAAAACCCACACACACAGGCACACACAAACAATACACATAATATGTAATATAATAATAATGTATATTTCCGCGCAATCGAGGTGAAAGCCACGCAGCAAGAAAGTAATGCACACTAGAAAAAGGCAATAAAATCAAACTATCGGTTCCGCCAAAACTCCCAAGCGGTTCGGTGTTCGTTTTCCAAACGGTGCAGACGAGAAAGCACCAATCCACTGACAGGGACGCAGTCCGACAGTCCCTCGTTTGCGGCTTGCCGCGCCCGCATCGGCTCCTCAATCGCCTCCCTGTCCATCTCCTCAACGGTATGGAGATACTTCAAATCGTCCTGCAACGCCTTTACAATGCGGTCGTACCTCGCACACCGCTGACTCCACAGTGCAGCATCCCCCTGCCGCCCCAGGGAAAAAAGATAATCTAGCGGTGGCCGCACGTTTTGCTGCGCTGCTCCCAAAAGCTCCATGGCACTGTTTTTTATTGGCCTCAGTGATTGATCCCACACACCTCGCACAACGGGGTCCAACAGTGACCTTTTCACCCTGCTTCCCGGTGAAAAACACTCTGCCAAACAATGCCGCAGAACCACAAGGTTGGCAGCAATGGACCCCATGTTCGTCGGTCGCACATCCAAGTAGTTAAAAGAAATTGCATTTGCCTTGTAGGAGGATTCCTGTAAACTGGGTAGGCCGTCGTCTCGAGTGCCACCGCCCCCATTGTTGTTTTCATCGCCAGCCCTTTCAGCCTTTCGACCCTCATTGCCACCGCTTCGGAGCCGCTGCGGCGACGGAATCCGTGATACTAATGTGTTTTTGATAAAGGACGCAACACCACCTCCGAACCGGGAGGGAGAAGAGGAACCACCGCCGTGGTATGTCGTCAGAAAACGATCTACATCCGTCTCTATGCGGATAAGGTACCGCTCCGTGATCTGCTGCTTGGCTGACAAATACTTCTCGTAGCGAGTCTCTAAAACCTCAAGCAGGACGTCGATATCCTTTTCCGTCAGTGTTTCCATGTTATTTCCATTAAGAGCAACCGAAGGTTGAGCATTATTGAACTCATCTTTCGCTGCGGCTTGTGGCAGCACTGGCGCCGCCTTCTGCTCGCCTCGGTTATTAGAAAAGTGTGACTGCGAAACATCGACTTTTTTATGCACTACTGGCGACACTGCCGTGGCGTCACCACCGGCATTTCCCACCCACACACCACTTTCCCTGTGGTGGTGGTGATGGTGGCGGCGGGCAAGCCTGGTCTCGTACAGCCCTGTGGAGTGTCCAAAGAGCGGAACGGGCCGAAGAGCGTCCGCCGGATTTGACGGCAACGCCACGATGGGGGGCAGTTCCCCCAGCATCTCCCTTCACGCACTGCTCCTCCCCTCTCCTCCCCTTCTTTTTTTGGTTTGTTTGTTTTCACAGCCCCGCTAATGGTGTGCAAGGGATGGAGGGAGACAGAGATGGAGAGGCATGCACCAGTAGAGAAACAAAATAATCTTCTGGGCGGCTGGCCAAATCCTGAGTTTCTCAATCATAGAAAACAATCCAGAGAAGAATAAGAAAGTAATAAATGGAATAAGAATGGATCCATCATATCCTCAAAGTTTAACAACAAGTAAGTGTATATATAAATCATCCATTAGCCACAGTTGTGGCCCACTCACTCTATTCGGATTCGACACATATATATTTATTACTTACGAAGTGGCAGACTTTGGGGTCCTGCAGCCACAAGACCCCACCGCGAGAAGAGAATCAAAAGGGTGTGGGTGGCATGGCAAAATAAAATAAAATAAAAATTAACCAGCCGCTATCGGTTCCCTGATCCCCCAACGTCGTGTTCTTGCCAAAATCATAAGATGAAAAAGCGTCATAAAGAAGTGCATTCGTTGTATCAGGATATATACATGAATTAAGTTCGCCAGCTCTCCTCTTCGATCGTTCTCTTCGCAAAAGTTCCTAGAAGGAAAAACTCATTTGATCGGGAGATTCACACGTAAAAAAAAAAAAGGCAAGCCGCAGCGGCGGAGGATAAATCATGTGACTATTGCAGCCGAATAATCTCCTGTGCCACACGCCTCATAATTGCTGGTGAAGAAGCAACCCGCGGAACCAGTCCTAAACACGCCACATGGGCCACCGGAAAACGACCGGTGTACCTCAACGCGACAAGCCGCCAGTCAAGCTCTTGTCGCAGCGCCTCAGCAATGGACTGTGGAGAACCGTGGGCGGCCAATTCTTCATATTCGCTCTCACTTTCTTGTCTCTCCTCGCCCACACCTTCGTGATGCAAATCCTTCAGCGTGTGCGTTGCAGTCACACTCCCACTTCTCTCACGCAACCGGGGTAAGTGCATCACCGCGGAGTACTCAGAGTTTTCCTCCGAAAAGGCGGAGGCACACGGCAAGGCTTCCGTCGCCAACCCCACAATGCGGACAGTGTCGTCTCTGACATCACCATATAACAAGGAGGACGTCGCAAAGCCCACCAGCATGTCCTTCTGTGTATTCGCAAAAAGTGTTCGTTGTCGAAACAGACTGAGTGCCGCGAGATGGCCCCTGTCAATGAGATGCGTCGACAACACCGCCTCGCTGTCCTTGAGGAGGAGCTCACTCAGCGACGGTGCGCACAGCACGGCGAGAAACCATGTTCCATAGTACATGGCGGAAAGAAGGCACTGTCCCACTCCGCAGTGCGGCGTCGCGATGGTGATGAAATTCTCAAACGTGACGTTTAATTGCACAAGTTTCTCACGCACGCATCGGACCTCGTCAAAAAGCCCATCGTCTAACTCATCCCCCTCCACTGCAACAAGCAGCAAGTACAAAAACTCCCGAACAATGATCCCACCGAACGAGTGTCCCACAACAGAAAAGCAGACGGGGCAATTGCCCCCCTCCTCGTTTTCTTCCACCGTCCTCAGCCAGTCGCCAAACACGGGCAAAAACTCTTTAAGAGTCCGAGAGGCGCAGGTGCGTGTCCTCCAATTCGTGCCCTTCCACCGGTTGCTGCCAGGGGCAAAACACGTCAGGCCTCTCCAAGCAAAAAGTCGACCTCCGGCCTCGTTCGTCTTGCAGTTCGGTCCCAGTGCTGAGGCAAAAGCCCCCAGTGTCACTTCACGCAGGTGCTCATCATGGGTTTTATGGCAATTTATTTCATTTTCTTCAAAAACACAACGTATGAGAGCGTCAAAGTCTGCGGATGTTCCCCAAACGCCGTGCTGAAAAAGAACAAAGTGACGGCGGTCGCCAGGACCACCAGCAGACATGACAATTAAAGAGCAGCCCGCCTCTCGGATTAACGTCCGTCGCACCGCTCTACATCTGTTGACCGGCCCCAAGAAGAGTAAACAGAAAAGGGAAAAAAAGAAGAAAAAAAAAACAGGAAGAAACTATAATAGTTGAATATATTAATAAAAAAAAAAGCAAAAAGCACCCTCCTCCTCTTCATCGTATGAATGCAGACACAAGAAAGACATATTCCAGCAGGTATACATCACAGCAGTGAAAAAAATTTGACTGAACACATCGCAAATTAATCGTATTTTATTCCAATAATGATGGAACCTTGGTGCTTAACAATTACAGATCCCGAAAAATGACTGTTCACACGGAAAGAAAATGCTCTTTTCCCCTCATCAAGGTCGTCACTGTGATATTATTTCTGATTCCACGGCACACATTTTCGGCAAACGGAACAGATTCCCTCTTGCACAGCATCCATCCCCCAGCGCAAGGCCGAGGAAGGCGGAACGGGTAAAACGTAACCACGTATGGCGCATGAATCACACAGACGAATCTCCATTGCCGCTGTGTTCGCCCCACTGCAGCGAGCACATTCGCAGAAAAAACGGTAAGAGGAAAAAAGCGTGCGACGGCGCTCTGCGGTCGAAGTCTCTTGAACATCCACGTAGCAAATGGTGAGGGGCTCACCCTTCCGTATCTCTCGAAGAGCATGAAATGCTGCAAGAATTCCACGATATGTGACTCGACAGATATTTGGGCAACAACTGTGATTGAAATACGACGCTTCCGGATAGAGTGCGACGCCAATGCAGTTACCGTCCGCGTTAAACAAACCAAAGCTGTTGCACTGCAATGCAGCACACAGGCGATTAAAGAAGGTGGCTGTAACAGTCAAATTGGCCTCGATACTCCCACCTTCACCCAGCCAGGGAAGAATCAATTTTGTAAAGCGGCGATAGGCACAACGAAACTTACTGCGCGAGTCTTTGCTCAGCACTGAAAGATTTGTAACTAAGCGGGCCGTATCACTCCATCTTGGAGGTCGAACGGCATGTGTTTCCTCTTTCTCCTCACATACACCTAATGACATGTTGCTCCTCAGGGAGAAGTAAAGCTGCGACGTCGTTTCTGGGTCACGGAATTCGTTGCCACCCTCAAGAGCTTTGGGATCCAGGACTTCCACCACACCACCGCACTGCAGGCGAGCCATACGAAGTATTTCCACCTTCTGAGGTATCGCACATTCCGTAGCGATCAACGCAGCTGCACCTGATAACTGAGATTCCGCGTCAGTGGTTGCACCGCTGAGTTTTCTCTCATTCCTTAAATTTAAGGGTGTTTTATTCTTTGCCGAGACAACACAAACGACTTCTCGTTCCCCCTCGCCAACTTTGCTGAGATTAACCGTGGCGGGCATGGCTTCCGTTTCCTCTGCCATATGACCAGCAAACCCTTCCCTTGCACAGTGTGCCACCAGCAATGCATTCAAGAGTAATGTCTGCATCTCCCACGCTGCCTCCTCGCCTGTTCGCCTAAGCCAATGCTTTGTACTCCATGAGTCAGGGGAAAATCGTTTCTTGTCTGTTGAGTTTGCATTATCACCAGCACGTACCATAAACGTTTTCATGAGTACTGGATACACGCGGCGCAGCGTTTGACACGTACCTGAGGCTCTGTGCAAATTGTGATGCTCCGTCCAACATGCCCTCGAGCAGTACACAATAACACCACACCCGGCGCATCCACACACACCTTGGTTTGTTACATCCTCCGGAAGACTATGTTCCCCTTCCACCACACGTTCTGGCCACATGACTTCCTGTGCATTATCCATCTGCATTGCCTTCACATGATATTCGTGCATTGCCTTTTCATGCCGCCGTGCGGAGGCTTCCGACAGCTTCTTCTTCAGCTTCACGTACAATTTGGAGCGAATCCGACCAGACTTAAGAGGTTTTTGCAACTTTTTAGATTGCTTACCATCTCCCGCATCAATTTCCCCGGAAACCTCCATATCAGCGTCCACGTCAATGGCTTTTGCTTGTGAAATGTCTGTATCTTCATTCAACCACCTCTCCATCTCATAGTTGGCGTGTTCTGCAGCAATACAACCGGAAACCCATCGAATAGTCTCATAATTTAGGAATAGGGTACCTTCCGGAATAAGTTGCAGACAGTTACAACAGAGTGTTGAATGGGGCAATAGAGGCAAGTATCCATTTGGGATTGAGGCTGGAAAAGAACCATTTTTCCTTCTTCTCTTTGTCATCGAGTTGCTCGCCGTATTCGTGCTCCCGGTGGCAGCCACCCACTCGTCCACCTTGGTTGCTATGGACATTGCACTGGGCATTTCATTCGGGTTCATCGCCACGGCATACGGGGCAGCAATGAGGACAAGTTCACCGGGGCTGATGTCGGCCTTGGCTACCGCGTAGCGCCCTGCGTCAGACTTCGGGTCGGAGGGATGTACACACTCCACCAACCGGTCTTGCGGTGCCGCCAGCATAACCGTGACGGTAGCAGTAGTGAGTGTACTCCTACTTTTTTGATAGTCCCCTACGCCCTACAAATAATAATAATAATAATATCAAGGCCATGATAGAGGAATAAGAACGATACCATCCATTCGTCATCCAAAAAAAAAAAAAAAAAAAAAAAAGGAAGGAAAAAAATAAATAAATAATATTGCATACATACATACATATATATATATATATATAAGGGTTGCAAGATTTAAAAACCGACGGATTAGAGACGCCCCTCCAAAAGAAAAAACAAGGTTTGCGCGTCCCATTTCTCCTCCCAGACGTCAAACCACGCCTTGCTGATGCTCTTTCTCCACCCGCCCAAGAATGACACCCTCTAGGGCAAGACGTTTTTCCCAATTCTTTTCACGATACGCCCGCACATGCACAGGAAGCTCCTCTGTTCCCTCAAGAATATAGGGGTATAACTTACTACGCGGTGAGGTATCCATCTGCCTAATCACGTTCAACAGGTACTGTGGATCACCTTCCCATAGAGGCCGACCTGTATGGCAGTAATAGCCGCCAAAGGTCCCAACGATAAGTGCAGGAAACGCCAAAAAAGCGGCTAATTTAATATGATGACGGCGAAACTCCTCGGGATGATAGCGATACTCTCGGTGGATCCGTTCACTCATGTTCTCCTTCTCACCCTTCGTCATGGCGTCGGCACTCCACGAGTCACGTAGTTGCTGCATCCCCCATGGGGAGCGCTTCTTGACTTTGATACTCGGCAGCGGTTTCCGACTCGTCTTGTATTTGACTGACGCTCCGCCACTATCCGTGCGTTGCCTGGGGCCCTTCGTTTTATTTTCGTTCGACCTCACCGTACCGCTGTTATCAATGCTTGGCTGGTGTCCTGACGGCGCTGGAGACATTACACTGGACTCACAAGAAGAAGAAGAAGATAAAGAGTTGGAAAACTGAGTGGAGGCTCGTCTCTGCTCCACCAACGTTGGTGCCCTCGTATCATTGGAGAAAAACGCCAGCGCCGCACGTTGAAAGCAATTGCTGTGGAATATTCTCTGCAAACCGTGAGAAGCACACCGCATTGTCGCCAACAGGAAATGTGTCCTCGCTGCCTTGCTCGCTAATAAACGCTTCACCACTGCACAAGAGTACCGATCAACGGATGATTGTGGTTGTTTTTTCTTTCTTTTTTTTTTTTTTTCGCCTTGTTGCGTGAGAAGGACAGAGAGAAACCAGTGCAATGTATATTTGTAAAAGAAAAAAATATCAGAGGTGGAGTTGTTTCTCCTCACACCTGCGAGCCACAGACAACAGAAGCCCCCGCTAAATAGGGGAGGGAAAAGACGCATTGCATGTTCTTTTTTTATTCAAAGCAAAAGTAATAATAATAATAATCAGCCAAAATAATGGCAGACAAACAAAAAGATAGAAAAACAAACAAACACAAGCACTCAACAAAAAAAAACATAATAATAATAAAGTGGTGTATCGTGCATGGCGAAAGTATCCCTCGTCCTTTCTCTCTCCCTCTCAAGTTTTATTTTTCCTTCAATCAATGACTTTGTATGGATTAAGAATTCCATTTGGATCCATCGTCCGTTTCAGGGTTCGCATCAGCGCAATGACCTCCGGTTTACGTGAAAAGCCGAGATACGCCTTCTTCTGCACCCCGACGCCATGCTCTGCCGAGATGGATCCGGAGTGTGCCGCGCAGAACTCATAAACAGCCGGGAACAGCACGGCGTCAAGTGCGTCACTGTGTTTTCGTGTTCGATCCACAACATTGAGGTGAATATTGCCATCCCCAAAGTGACCGTAGCCAACCACCAACACCTCGTCCGGGTCAAACCCACCATTCTTGTAGATCATCTTGCGAAAGTGCAGCACAATGTCGTAAAACTTGTCAAGCGGAAAGCTGACGTCAAATATGTAGATGGTCCCGGCACTAGCAAGCCGTACCGGGGTGTCCTCACGCAGATTCCACAGCTGAGCCGTCTGTGCGAGCGATTGTGAGAGGACGGGTTCAAATGATTCTCCCAAGTCACCTTTTGAAACACAGCGAGGGTTACACTCTGCAGCTTCCACAAAACGAGAGAGTTTTTCCATGTCGTGCTCGGCATTACTGCCATTTGTCTCTACCATAACACAGAAGTATGCACTGGTGAAATCCTGGCCGGCGCGAAACGTATCACTCTTGCTTGTTCGCGTAAAAGGCAGCTCCTCCTGTGGAGTGACTGAGAGAGATTCGCCATCCACCACTTCAAAAGCCGAAAGGCATTCAGAAAGATGCTCCTGCGCCAAACGGTAAAGCTCTAGCACCGACTCGAACGTCGTGAGGCGAAACAGGGCCAACTGAGTGGAGCGCGGAAAAGGGTAAAGCTTCAAACTTACACGAGTCACGACCCCAAGTGTACCTTCGCTCCCAATAAAAAGATGCTTCATGTCATACCCCGCATTATCCTTTCTGAGGGTAGACATCATGTCCAGCACTTCTCCTTGAGCCGTCACCACCTCAAGACCCAGCACATTTGCGTGCATAGATCCGTATCGGGCAAAATGAATACCACCTGCATTTGTGCTTACAGCACCACCAATTTGTGCGCTCCCTTTGGACCCCATTGTAATAGGCACAAGGAGGTCATGGGTCTTTGCCGCCTCCTGCAGTTGCTGAAGGATGACACCCGCCTCCGCTTCTGTGGACATAGTCTGTGGAGAGACAACAGGATCGCCGTTCATTTCCCTGAGACTGAGGATGACTTCGTCGTGAAGTGCAGAAGAACCATACACCAACCCGGTGTTCCCACACTGTGGAACAATCCCAATTTTCTCACTTTGGCAGTAGCGTAGGATGGCTGCCACTTGCTGAGTCGATGTTGGGAGAAGAACCACGGGACATTCCCCCTCCACCTGGTTCATCCAATCCCTATTGAAAGACACAATTTTATTCGGATCTGTCAGCATCCTCCCCGGTTTTTTATTCTTGGGACATTGCTCCCGAAGCACACAGTTGAAGTATTCAAGGTGGGTTTTATTAAGTTTCGCAAATAAGGGATTTCGATTGGCATAATGTGCTGCCCGCTGGCGCGCCGCTGCAAAAACACTCATCACTTACAAAAGGAAACAGAACAGAAAAAGAAAAAAAAAAAAAAACAGCAGCCACGAGGGTGGAAGAGATAAAGAAGGGACAAAAATGGTGAGACAACAGTTCCGCTTCTTCTCGTTATTCACCTGTTCTCATTTCTCCATTTTTATTTAAAAATATTTTTTCCTTTTTGGGTGGTGAGAAGGTTGTGGGTTCTCCAGCAGCAATTCCAGATGTCTGGTTCTTTTTTTTTTTTACATGACTCATTCTTTTATTCGTTGTTAATTTTCTTTACTTCTTCCTTCCCCTTCGTTCTCTCTCTCTCTCTCTCCCTCTCCATTATTTTCCTCCTGGCACCGAAGGCATCGACAAGTGAAAAAATACCCTTTTAACTTTTCATTCCTTTGCTCAGGTGTGGTGTTCTCTAATGGTATGTACGTGATAGTAAGCTCCTCACCGCTTTTCACTGGACGAAGCGTACGAAGTGTGATGTCATGTGTGCCATCCACATTACTCACACTTACATTAGGGTCACACGAATGATTAAAAGCAGATTGTAGAGCATATACTGCCCCACCCTTGAGTACCCATTCAACCAGTGGGATGGCAGAAAAAGCCTTTTCGCCTGATGGAGATTGGACGATAAAGCCGTTTATGGCCTGTGAATTCAACGACATTTGACCCAGAAATGTTTCCAGAGTTTCGTGGCGCAACAATGCATCAACGATTTCTAGGGCCCAGGCGTCGTTCTCAGACCGTGGCGGTAAAGTCGCCTCTAAGAGAGCAATGCGACATGGCTCCCGTAGCAAACGATCCACAGTCCGATACCAGGAAAGAGCGTCTACATCACCGAACTCGGTACCCTTGGGAGCATCAATAAGGCGGTTAAAAGGCGCACAAGCAATGTGAAAGAGTTGCCGGGAAATACTTCCCTCATGTTCTGTGTGATGTCTCTCCAAAAACTCTCCACTGAATTGTTGTTGTTTAATGGATGTTGCAATGCGAGCTACGACCCAGGCAACACATCGTGCCAAGGATTCTTTCGTGATAGTTAGGTCAAAACGTTTGCCTGTATCCGTATCAAAAGATCCAACGACCTCCTCTTCGCGAAGCTGCCGTAGAGCACCGCATAAAATGTGGTGGGCCATCTTGCTAGAGAACTCACAGTTATCTGAACAAAAATATGAACCACAACCGTCACACGTGCGCCACAAAGAATCATTCTGCGTATTTGCTGCGTCTGAATTCGCCTGCTGGCGGAGGCAGTGTGAACAAAAGGGAATGTCGAGTGCGACGTATCCCTGTGCCGGCCACGACACGATGGGTGCCTCCTCAAAGAGATCACTTTGCGCCGGGATTTCGGCTGTTGCAATAACGTGCTTTCCCTTTTCGCTCGTGTTATGCACCCTGCATGGCACCAACATTTTCTCAAAGGTCCTCGTCAAATACAACACCGCCTCCTCAACAGGATCCATCTCGGTGGCCAAATGTGCCCTTATTGATGTTATATTAAGTGGAATAAATGAAGGGGGGGGAAGAAAAGAGTTAATTAAAATATATATATATATATATATATTTTTTGTGCTTCTCCAGTTCACAAAATTTGCAATTTGGACAACAACAAAAAAGGAAAAGGAAAAGGAAATTATTTGGTTTGGGTGAAAAACTCAAAACATATAACATCACGAAAGTAGCGTCACGACGCAAAAAAATAACAACAAAAAAACATATTTCTTGCTAACACTATTATTAGTATTGCTACCAGTATGCCATTTTACTGTTGTAATGACTCATTTTAACTTAATGTGACAAACCCATCTCCACAGATATATTTTTCCCAGTGTGACTTTAACACAGTGAACAACGGGGGCTTTTAAATCCCAATATTATGTCTCTTAATTTTATTTTCCACCCTTTTAATTCCTACTCTCAAGGGTTTAGATCCAACAGAATGCGTTGTAACTCTTCCACAGAATCAGCCCCTTTTAAACTCGGTTGCTCCTCAGCAAGAGCCCTTAATGATTCGGATAGGTAACGAAACCGCCGATTCGCCAGAGACTTCATCTGAAGCACCATTGTCCTTAATTGAAACGCTCCGTGCATCTCTGCCATACGATGCCACATAATTACCTTGCCTATCATCCTTATATCCTCCAGTTCGTCATCCTGCAACTGTTCCTCTTTTTCCTGCCTTTTAACGCCATAGGCAAAAGAACTCGTTTTTGAGTCTCTGCGTGACAGACGGCGCAGCGCAGCGGAGAGTATCGTAAGCTCGTTAAAGAACACCATAAGAAATTCTAATGCCTGTTCTGAAATGTACTGAGCATGCTTGGCGTTTAAAGGGTCTGTCGGAACACGAACGTACCTCAGGGCAGCAATACATAATCCTTCAAGTACCGTCGCGTAGCGCAAAAAAAGTTGATTAAGGTAAGGCACATTTGTAACAAAATTTTCTGGGTTTTGCAAGATACAGGCATCCATTCCGTCGAATGTGCCAACATCCGCGACGGGGGGATCAATTTTAAAAGATCTGGGCTGATTCTCACCAGGGATAATACCACGAAGAATACTGCTGAATATATCCGCCGCCTCTGCGTATGTACTGGAAGGTTCATGATGAATGTAGTCCACCATCATGGCAGAAGAAAGGTCTGCCTCAGCTGCCGAAGATCTCTGTGGCATAAATGATCCACGTGGGCTGTTGCTGGCACTCTGTGACCATGGAACATAGCCACTATCACTTACATTTACTGGAACAGCATATAGCACAACTTGTGGATCTTCCCA